TACAAAAGTGAAAAAGTCAAAGAATAATCATTATTGATGAGTCCTACCAAACGAGCAAACGAGAAACAGACCAGAAAACGACAAACTAGCCACTAAAAATGGCATACCCAACATCTGTTCTTTATTTATTTCCTCCACAAGACTTACCAAATTCTAGTACTACACAGATTGTGGTTCTCAATTTGCACGTAGCCCTTCAGTTGAAAGAAGCTTTTTAACCGCCTTCGCCAGCTGTGTGTTGACTGGACTTTGGCGTTGACCGTGGAGCAGCTTATTTACTATTGAAATTTGAACAAATATTCAAATGATTATAACTTTCTTCAAATATGACGAATTTTCAATCTGAAAGCAGATTTGGGAGTTTTGTGAAGAGCTTTTTCTAATCAGTATAGAAATTACAAAAAGTTATAAGAAATAACAAATTTAGGTCAATTAACGAGGAAAATTCGAGATGAGCACGAGTTTTTACACTTTCCGAAGCAACAACTTGCTTCATTTTCGTCAAATTCGAAAAGTTAATATGGCAGACAAAACTAGAAGATTTTCTCTACCAAACCGTTGCTAAAGCAGCTCTATACGTCCAGTATTCAAAAAATGGCCACGTTGAGGATTTTTGCAAAATTAACGAGGAAAATTTGTGATGAGTGCGAGTTTTTTTACTTCCTAAAGCCATAACTCCGTTCAAACTCATCCAATCCGAAAAGTAAATACGCCATCATAAACTAGAAGATTTGCTCTATCAAATGCTTACTAGAACTGCTCCAAACGTCCAGTATTAAAAAAACGGCTACGTTGAGGATTTTCGCACGAGTACCGCCGAAAGGTACTTTTTCGCTACATTGGCACTATTTCAACGGCTGTATATCCTTTTAAGGGCGATTATGTACTAAAAGTAAGAGCAGATTTGAAATCACTGCTTTTCTCTTTCTAAGAAAAGTGATTGATTAGCGTTTCTCAACTTTAAAGGTTACATGTTTATAAATTTAACCCTGAAGAGTCCGTTAACGCAATGTTGAATGGTGTACACCTCCCTGTAAATGCGCACGGACACTTTCAGAATTCTCTCGATTGTTCCTGAATTGAGGTTGTTTGTCCAAGGAGCCGTAGTTGAAGTGCGCGCAACAACTAGACCCTTTCTCGGATGCGCCGTGTACCTAACATCCCTTCAGATTCGGGATGAAATATCTCTTGGAAAGCGTGCGAAATTCAGATTCTTTATTTTGTGTGGTGATAAAACACTGAAGTAACTAAGAATTACCGGACGCCTCAGAATCACGAAAATTTTGTGTGGGTGAAATATCGTTTTCATTGGAAATCCTCTGGCCTGGCATCGACTCATCCTTGATATTTGTCTTCCGGCGGTGATGATCCCACTGCATCAAAATGGCTCGATCTCTTCCACCCAGCGGGCCAATACGACCCCCCCCGCGACGTGTCGAGGATTCCTCAACGCACGCTTGACCCTGAGTTTGAATGCGGTATGGCCTTATGAGGTTCAGAACCAGTATGCCAGCCGACTACTTGGTGAACACCATAAATTGTTGGCAATCCTAGTGGGCAGCAGGGCCACTGGTGGCGCAGGTAAATTTTTAGCTTCACACTTAAATTTGCTTGAATGCGCGAACAAAAACGCAGCACCCAATGTCCAGCTGATTGGTTGGAGGCGTGCGAAACGGAAGCGAAAACACTAGAGCGGATGAGAGTAGTGGAATGTGCTGAGGCTTCAACAGCAAAACTTGACAATGGTGCGAGAGCCGATAGGTTTTCTGCTTATGTATGAGTTACCAATTCGTCGGACGGCAAAGAAGTCAGAGTCACAAACCTATTCCACTTTAAAGGAATCTTCCACGGACCATGGACCAGTGGGCGGGACCGGAAGTTTTTGTGACGAAATGCATGGTAGGTACGGATCCACGTGTCGAACGCACGAACGTGAACAGGATTCACTTCAAACCTTCCCATGAACGTGGATCCGTACCTACCATGCATTTCGTCGCAAAACCACTTCCGGTCCCGCCCACTGGTCCATGGTCCGTGGAAGATTCCTTTAATAAATATCTTCGTTTAACTATGAAATTTTGCAAAAGTTCAATGAAACTCGGGATCTACAAAATTTCTACGTTCTGAATCTCATCAAGGCAACCCTACTATGTAGTTGTCAGAATCTCTGGGTAATGACGCAAAAAACCAAGATATCAGGGACACCCCTTTATTTTTCGATGGTCGTTCGATCTAAATTCCTTTGAAAAATCGTCCCGTTGGTGAATTTTTCCTACCCATGCGAGTTTTCGAGCCTGAGCAACTATAATCTTCTTCGAGAATGTTCTAGTGGAGCAATGTCCTTTGCCAAAAAATGCAAGTTGAGCACTGTAGGGACCGGGCCTAAGCTTGGAAATTTGAAATGTAAGAAAATAGTCGCGCTAGTAAGTTTCTTTGAGATTTACAAGTCCGTTTTTTTTTCGGAAAATTAAGTTTTCAAATTTCAAATGACCATATCTTTCTAAGGGTTGTTACATATTTAGCGAATCCGAAAACAGCAAGATGAACTTCTAAATTCAACCTTTCTTAAAAGACTAGAGATTGCTTTTTGAAAAGGCGGGCGGAGGAGGGTTGGAAAGTTTCTCTGTTGAAAAACCCGGTATGTTCTGCTTTATATGAAATGAAACTCACAGAAGAAATGAAATTATTTCTCCGGTGAGTTGAATGGAAAACTTTTACTACGAGATTTCCGGACTCTGATCTGCATAGAAACATGTTGAAAATTCAACGATCCCTAATGTTTCATTGAAAAAAAATTCTTTCAAGCATTGAAAAGTCAATGTTTTCATACACTTTCGCTTCCTTGAACTACTTTTTGTTTCTAGGACGTCAGGATTCCTCTAAGACTTTTTCTTCGCCGCCCATACTGAATGGAAATGTAGAGGCATGGGTCTAATAATTTTGAGATTGGAATTCACACTCGCCTCTCATTGGGCTGCGGACAGGGCCAGCCGTGCGTTGCGCGGATTTCAAAGATTTTTACGACTCATCCCCTTTCATTAGGTATGAGTACGACCTCACTGTGTCGGCTATTATGTCTATTCACGAATTTTTGTTCATTCACCATTGATGGGCCGTTACGGCAACTAAAGAGGAGGTGGGCTTTTGGAGACGAATCAAGGCAACAAGAAATTTCACTCGAAAACTACTCGAAAATTTTCTCCGAACCTTCAAATCTTTTTATTAATTGAAAATCTGAACCGTGAAGTACATTTGTCAGAAAAGGACCTGCCGGCTTCGAAAGATCAACTGTAGGTCGGACAGCTGGTCTGTGCAGAGTATAAGAAGGTGGTAAGGGTTGATTGCGGAGGAGAGGGTTGCAGTGTCAATCTTCCAGCTTCGGCGTGCCTTACTGGCACTACTTGGTGGGAGTTGTAGCATGCGAACAAGAGAGCCTGGTACCATATGCCGGCTCAGTGTTGGTGATGAGGGCCTTATTGGCCGTATAGAGGGAGCCTAACCATAAGTGGCTTGTTGGTGGCTGCTTTAGTGGCCGGATGGAGGAAGTCTAAGTTGCTCGCCGGTGATTCACTTAGTGGCTTAGTGAAGAGAGCCTTAGTAGCTCAAGTTGGGAAGCTTCTGTGGCTCAGTGGAAGAAGATTTGTGGCTCAAGCTTTAAGACCAGGTCGCGCCCTGCATCCGCGCCGTGGAGAAACATTCTCTGGTTGCCTCTCGAGTTCGTCCAACCCAATCCGCCCATCGAATGTTCTGTTCACAAGTCATCTATTCTAGTTCTTCATCTGTGACTTTTGTTTGTTTCAATAAATCTTCCTTCGTACTGCTCGCCTCACCCACGCAGTTGAAAGGTTTCTCCGCTTCGTATTGCACGAATCCGCCCAGCTTGTTGTTCAATCAGGGTATTGTGGATGCGAACACTCCAAAAGGTTATGTCTTCATTCAACTGCGCTCTTATGAAATAGAACGGAAATTGTAAAACTACGAGTTTTCTTCTTTCCGAAGAATATTTAAGCAAATGTTCACTTCTTCAAAAAAAGTCAGTGGTTCTGTTTTCGTGCACACGCGAGTTTTCGACATTCAAACATTCATAACTTTCTTCATAATCAACTTTTTGCAGAATGTCTAAGGCTAATTAGAAACTAGAAGATTAGAGCTTTCGAACAAGCACTGAAACTTTTCAGCAATCACTTGCTCAAAAAATCCCGTTGTTCCTTTTCCATGTAATCCGATTTTTAAAAAGCGCGATCCCCATCACTCAAGCGTTCATAACCTGCTTCGGAGGTAAGCAAACCAGCCCTTTTGGCGTTTCTGCTGGGGCCGTATGCTGAATGTTGGGGAGGGGATGGGGTCCCCGAACGGTCGACGGTTACTTCAACTCGGTCGGTACGATAGGAGAGTAATGACGCAAGTGGTGCAGCTGGTCCAGCAGCTCCGCCAAAAGGGCTGGTTTGCTTACCCCAGGACTAAGCCTTGGAGAGAGGACGGACCTGCGCTCTC